TGAGCAATTTCGCAAATTTATCTTTTCTTTTCGTAGAACTCTTTCGTTGGGGTGTTTTCTGTATATACATATACTACTGGCTTGTGGCTACAAAATCAGCTAATTATCAGCTATAGGAACAAAACTTGAAAGGAGTTGTAAGGTTTGAAAAACGAGGTTTTCAAAAGAAAACCTTCCAGTTTTTTGACGCATGGTTTTCTTCCCGCTTGCTCTATCAGTATGAGAAGGTGCGCTCTAAATACAAAGGGTTTGCTGCTCCTAATGCTCTTGACTATATTCAAAAATAAGAGGAAACAAAGTCATAACTTTTAGCGAAAAAAAAACGGGCATTATTTTTGCGTCAACCTGATATAAAACACCACTGAAAGACCTGTGGCCGTATTCATCAAGAACCCTGTGGGTTCCGGAACCCACTGGGTAAGATTGGTATTCACAATTGCCTCGCTGGGTTCGCCAACCCATGACGTCACCAATGTGCCTCCTAGTCAGTGTACTATCTTACATATTTCTGACACACAAAAATCGCGCCAAACTAAAAGCGCTTAACACGCTTTCGGGAACTCTTATGTTCGGATGAATGGCATCAGTCATCTTTTGTGCAACAATGTTTTGTAAGGCAGCATCTCGGGCAAACTTTGCCACATCAAGTAATGATGAAAATGTTCGAATTTCACAGTATCGCAAATGAGTGTAAGAGTGTCTAAACTTGGTTGGGGTAGGGGAAGGGCCCGGCACAGATCGTCTGAAAGCAAGCTGGACTTCGTTTGGAGCAAAAAGCAAAGGGGCTATCGTTTTTTGCGAAGTCGGGGCCGACCACTAAGGATAAGCGCCATTCAATCGAACAGAAGCTTTTCGAACAGGTTATCACACAATTGACATGCTCCATCATGTATGGCGAAAATTGCGCGCGATTCCAAAGCAATGCTAAAATAAACAAATTGCTTGTTTACAGCGCACACAGAATCATATGATACCAAAATTAAACCGTATACATAGAAAATTATTTGCAGAAGAGTTATATAAAAAAATTCAAAAACTTAAATGAAGAAATACCTTCTCCAAAATTAGTCCGTCTCCAGACGGCCACCAGACGATCTGAGATCGTCTGGAGCATATTTTCTGTCACTTTATATGAGTTCGGATTTTCTTAGCATGGACGGATTCCCCGATCAAAATTCTGTCCCTGTGTATGAAGACATTTTCATATCATTGCCTTTCCTTTGTTTTTTGCCTCAATTTCTTCATGAATGGCTTTGTTAGATATCGCGCTCCAACGCCAAACTCTGTGCATGCGTAGTATTCAGCTCCACTTTGGATTTTTACTCTTATTTCACATTTATTCTTTCAGAAAGGGAATTTTTTAATGTTTTCATCTTCTCTAAATCGGTAGGTTAAAGGGGACTTCGTAAAACTTCCGAAGTCAGGGGGGGGGGATTTCGTTTTCAAAAAGCCCAGAAACGGACTCGTGCCTGGCCCTTTGTAAAGGGTGAAGTTGAGGAATTTGGTAGTTGCAAGTAGGAGAGCCGTAACCAAACTATATAAATTACCCATTTTTGAATTTCTCATAGGGAACGCCCGACTTGGTAGGGAACCCGGTACGTTTTGCTTAGCTTGAAATGTGCAAGTGATTATCAAGTACAGACTTCTGGTTTTTTGATGCATACAAGCTTGTGACTACCACCAACTAATTCCCTTCTCCTGTTTGTCAAGTTTCATTTTGTTGGGAACTCAAACGGATTCTAACAAAATTACTTTTTTTACCTATATTTTTGATTTGAGGAGCTTACGAACATCCCAAAAATTAGACACAAAGAGTTTGTTTCTCAGTCGCAGTGATATCCGAAAAATTCTGAGATAGCACTAGCAAACATGGAGAGGCGTCTAGAGGCAGCGTCCAGGCAGAATCTCGACTTCTATTTTTCTGCCTTATCCAGGCGTTTTCATGGCGCTGATCCTAAATATGGCAATCAAAATGCGTAAATTCCTCAAAAAACCCATTATCGAGACAATTTTTTGAGAAGCGTGGACGAGTGCTATTGAGTTCTAATGCTATCCTTGTCGAAAACAAGCATGAACAGGTAGACACAATGCCTTTCATTGTGTTTACCACGTCAAAACACGTCAAGGACGATGAGAGTTTTTTCAAGGGGCGTGCCGTGCGAAGAAGCAGGCGTGGTCCTCGAGGTCAGCGGAGGTCAGCGTTTTCTGCGCCGATTTTCTTTTTTCACAGGAGGTCTTCAAGAGTCGGATTTGCGCGAGATAGCACCAATGTTTAAATCTGCTTGAATGCTGCCTTTAAGCTTTTTACGAATTGATGCAACGAATTTTTCATGGATGTCCGTGACTTCTTTGAGACTGCTAAGTTGTAACTGAAACCAGTTCAGCTTGCTCTCTTTGCGAATGTTGTATTATTCTTGAGCTTATCTGCAAAAAACCTTTTCGGAACTCCAAATAGAATATGAAAGTGTTTTGTCCTCACAGCAATCTCATATGTATGCAATTCCGAAATCAGCGCACTCTTCCCTTTATGTGAGACTTTTTCTGGCTCGAAATGCAAAGAAAACATCAACAAATAGTTAAACGTAATTCATAATTGTGATTATGATTTGCACTAATTCATAACCATCATGAATTTTAGACATACATGGAACTCCGAATAGCATACAAATTAAGGTCTATGAAATTTATTCGATGAAAAAAAATTTGTCCGCTTCCGAGAGAATTTGGCACTAAGGTCAAGCTCTTTTAGTAGAAAAATATTCTTATTTACAAAAAGTTTTGAAGTCTAAATAAGTATAATTCTGTTTTGAGTGCTGCTTAGTGTTAACATCGCCGCTCACAAGTCTTTTAATAATCAGCAAAGGAACTGGGTTCACATGTAACCCATTCGCGAAATTATACCACGCTTGGGTTTGCCAACCCATTGCTCAAACCCACGGGATCTGGCTAACTTGCTTCGTGAATACCAGTATGATTGACTTTTGGGTTCGCAAACTCACTGGGTTCGTTCGTGTATACCGGTTAGGTGGCTTTTTGTGGGTTCCAGAACCCACTGGGTGGGATTAAAGGCACCGTCCATCCAATTTGGGGTTGGTGAGATTATGATATCTAGCAGCTGCCGGGCCCCCAACTGTATGATTGCCCAACTTGGGCTGCCTAAAGTTGCTCTCGAAGCGAGAAAATTGCTTTGAAAATCGCTCGGATGACAGATTCGCCACTTCGGCTCCTTTCTTTTGAGTGGGCGTGACGTTCGGCCCGCCCATCCGTGCGCGCCTAACCAATTACCGATCCGAAGAAGTCGCTGTGCGGGTTCTGAAAACGGGAGTTTTCGTGGTTTTCGCAAATTTCCGGCTTGATATTCGAGATGAGGGGTATGAAAAGGTCCTGGAACGGCAAAAACATGGAGGTCGAAATTTTGGGTGGACGGTGCCTTTAGGCTGCGTTCATACTGATCTGAAAGTTTGAGAACAGTCCCAGCACAACACTCGAACTGAGCGCTGTGCTGGAACTGTTCTCGAACTTTGGGATCAGTATGAACGCAGCCTTAACCACTGGGCCGGAACCTCCACTAATTTCATGAACACCGGTTTTGTGGGTTGAGCCTACCCAATGGGTTCTGGAACCCGCTGCGTTCGCTGTTGAATACGGCCACTGAAGTATGATAATATTGAGCAGCATAGGTAAGAGCAATTGAAGAATAGATCATAGAAAGCTCAAACGAAAGTCACAAAAGATAATGACTGAATGATAATGCAAAAAAGTGAGTCAACCGCTACTGATATGGTATCCTACTTTCAAGTGTTTAAGCCAAGGCCCAGCACGAAGGTGGCAAATGGACGACAGTAAAACGGCTTCGCTTTTGCCACTATCAAAATTTACGATTTCACTCTTGATCCCGCCAGCTGCATAGATTGTTCGATTGAAGCGCGCTTTCTTCCTAAAAAACCGGCATCATTGCTTTTCGGATCCCAGCAAGGAAGAGAGGAGGGGTTTTGATGTTACTACATACTGAACTTTAGGTATAGAACAGATTTATGTAAAAATATTGCAAAACATATGTGAAATGGAAGTTTTGCCTACCTCAGGTGGGCATTCCTGCGCGTATACACACCAAATTTCGTGCTAGATCGTTATCTGTGCGTTGCAAACGAGCCATTTTATCATTTTTGAAGGTAGGAAATTTGGAAAAAAAGCTTGCCAAAATTTTCAGTCACATAACTTTCCACAATACCCTGCTCTATGTTCCTCCTAGTCTATGTCCGTTTATACCCCAATTTCTTACATATTGTTATGTGTACGCTGTAACCGAGACATTCAATCACAGCTCAATGAAGAAAGAACTTGGATTTTTATGACGCGCCAGCAAGGCTGTGTTTTTGCATGTCAATGGCTAACTTGTCGAGAGAGTGTATCGTCGTCTCCCCGTGATAGATGGGGCGTGTCGTCTGCAAAGTCCGCAGATGTGCGTATTTTGTACGGTATAAGCCGTGGCGCAGAATAGGCCAAACAGCTGATTATTTTCGACTCAGCAGCGATAGGTGAGTTTTTTGCAACTGATCATGCTTTTCTTTTCAGACTTCAATAGGAGTTGCTAAAGGTGAGTTGAACTACTTATTTTATTATATTTTGTCAGTTTTGACGCGTTGCCGGCACTGATTTTGCACTGTAGCTGTATGTTGCATGCTATTACTTTTATTGCTTACTTACTAGTCGTTTTTCTTGGAGTTTGCTTTTACTGTTTCATCGGATTACTTCACTGCTTACGTGCGCTTCATGCCTATGTTGTTTTGTTCAAGTTTTATTGTGAAGATTCGAAGGCGAGTTTCAATGTTGAGGTTCGGGTGAGCATAGTGAAGTAATTCGATGAAATAGTAAAAGCAAATCCATCGAAAGCGACTAATAAGTAAAAAGTAATAGCACGCCATATAAGTAAAAAAAATGAAGTAACAGCACGCAATATACAGCTACAGTGCAAAATCAGCACCGGCTATGCGTCAGATATGACAAAAGTGATTACAAGTAAGTATAAATGAACATGCACTACTCACCTTTAGCAACTCCTTTTGAAGTCTGAAAAGAAAAGCAGATCAGTTGCAAAAACTCACCCATCGCCGCTGAATCGAAAATGATCAGCTGTTTGGCGTTATTGATTGGATTTATAGCAATATATACATGTTTTTAATGTGTACAAAGAGTGTTTACTATAACGTCATCCGAGTAGGCACTAGCTATGTCACACATACATAGCGGTTTTTTTGATGTTTACGATTTTCAGCATTAACGGAGGAGAATTTCGATACATCACGGTGGAGAATAGATAGGACCGCGCTTATACAATTTGATTACTTCTACACGATGATTGGTAGCGGATGTTTTCTGTTACTTGAAAGTGGCATTTCTTCTTCAGAGTCATTATTTGTTAGCGATCGCTTCAATCTGTCCGAAGATTGTGATGCCAAAATTTTATCAATTGGTTTAGGAGGTGGAACAGTTACTAGCTTCCTGCATCAAATATTTCCTCGGGTTAATTCACTTACTGCAAAGAAGCTGTAGTGCAAATGATTGATTGACAGATGAATATAACCGTTGTGGAGATCAGCGGACAAGTGCTGAACGCAGCTAGAAAGTGGTTTGGCCTTTTAGAAGATGATCACCAACGAGTCATCCTGACCGATGGAATTACTTTTCTAGCTGATAGGGCTAAGAAAGGTTTGGTTGTCTCTGTATAAGCATGGCGATTAATGAGATTACTTAGGAGCTTCTTACAAGGCAATTCTGCTGGATGCATGTTTGCCACACTTTGCAAGTGATTTGGTTTGCCCTTACAAATCATTTACCGACGAAGATGTTTTGAAAAATATTGCGACTTTGCTGTCCAAACAAGGTATGCTATTGCTTTCGCATCATGAAGAAATTTGCGTTGATATAAACTCTCTCTGAAATAACTCGACAATTCTGTCCATCTGCATGAAGTAATTTTTTCCCAAAGGATTAGTTTATCATGTAGGATTGTTTCAAGAAAACATCCGCTGAAAGCCCTCAATTTGCACATAATCTCATCACGCTGTTCGGTATAGTCGATTAACAACATTTCAGCTCATTAATTCCGTTTAGGTAAAAAGTTCGACGTCAACCTGCTTTGATCGTTTTATCTCTATTTCTCTATATGCTATTTTGGCGTACAAAAGGGTACAAATTCAATTTGCAGCAAATCGATGATACGAGTGTAATTTTAATTTCTTCTTTTACATAGGTTCAGTCAAGTGCCAAAAATATTAGGCTGGAAACTAAGTTTTGCAACTGGCCTCATAATTTCCCTCTCACTCACCATGGCGCACTCAAATTTTGGCATTATGTAGAGAGTAATGTGTGCACAAGTATGCACAAACCGTTTGAATTTCAAACACGAAATAGAAAAGTTTCAGGCTTTTTTCGAAAACTAGTGAAATTTGAGAATTTTTGGGGTTTTAAGCTAAAATGAAGCCTTTAGCAACCTAGACCATGCGTAGTAATCCTGATTCGTCTACAAATTATTGCCGGAGGTTGACTCCTTTGGCCTAGTAAGAAAGAAACAAAATTTAGGGGCATGTCGAGATTTGGCGTCCTCACAAAGTCGAACGAGTCGATGTACGCAAGAGCTGCTGGGGACGACCGTCAATGACTAAAGAGTCCGAAGCTCAAATTCCGCCGAGACTTAACACAGTAAGGTTATTTGACCTGCCGAACGCGAATATCATATTCATTTGTTGAATCAACGCCTTTTTCCTTGTTTAAGGTAAGACCCCATATCGTACACCTACAGTAATCCTACAAAAAAGCCCTTATCACACAACTTCACTATCGTTTTCGTGATCAGCATGTCGGATAACACCCCTATTCCAAGTTTCAGCCAGATCCGTCAAACTTTGAATTTTTCCCCTTCATACCATGCACCTACCGTAACCCTCACTGCGACGTCAGAATTTGGTAGGAAAGCAGCTGCGCTTGTAGCTTACGCAATATCCAACACAGTGGCAAAATTTGAGTGTGCCATGTTGAGTGAGAGGGAAGTTATGAGACCAGTTGCAAAACTTAGTTTCCAACCTAATAAATTGAATTGTAAGTCAGTATCAGTCAGTACTAATTATTAACATTTGATATCATTATTAAAGATAAAAGTACCCTAATTTTACAAGTACAGGATGCAAATAGTTTCTTCTGCTGGTGCATTAGCGCGCACAAAGTCACAATTTGATAGAGCCATGCACAGGGCGTCGCACAGCTAGCTTACGGTGCAGGCTGAACTTAGTCTTGGAAGAAAAAGCAAACGGGTTTTTGAGGATTGTGAGGAGAAGCTCGGGAAAAAAATACATGTATCAGCCTAGCTCAACTGAATGAAATATTGTTCCGTTTGAGATTGGAGTCCCAGCGGTGGTAAACACTTCTCAGAACCTTTTGATCACAAGCAATCTAATCAGTTTTTAATGTAAAATTAAACGACTGAAAAACTTCGAAGATTTGGCCAACTTCCCGTCCATATACCCAGCAAATTTTTCAACCTTCTTATGACAAACGAAACTTACCTCAGACGCATATACAATGATCGCCAAAAAGTTGCGGACAACTCGCCCTTTTTTTTTCATCGCTCATTTTCAGATATAAAACAAAGATGAAAAAATGATTGGATTGCATGCGGTGATAGGGATCATCAAGAGCTACACCCCACGCATCGCGCTTCCTGGAAAACATGTGGTACAAAAATTTTGAAAATCTTTTTGAAAAAAATACGAAAATGGCCGCGTCACAATGTCGCGGACAATAATTCTTCGAACGCGAAAATTTTCTTTTAGGACTTTTCTCGGAGCAAAAACAAAAGTTTTTTGGGTAGATAAGCTAGAGATCATCGAGGACAATAATTACCCTAATTGCAAGCGTATAAGGCGCGGGAGATTTTTTTCCAAAATCGACCAGCCCAGACAAGCCAAAGGATTTTACAACTAAAGGACCATATAAAGTGCTGTATGTTGCTTGAGAAAATCCTGCTATGTAAGGACTTCTTTCCGGAATACAGTGAAGCGGCTGAGCGGCCCGCTTGAAAATTCGAAAAAGTGCGCTTTATACGCGTGAGATTAGGGTAGATGGGGGTTACTTCCAGAAAAACCCGAGCTTGAATTTTATTTTGCTTTTTTTTCAAAAAATAACTTCTAATTCCCTTCTTCAAACCAAATTTCTTCACATGAAAATCTAACATGACATTCCAAGAAAGCTATCCGGATAAAATGTATGCTATTTGCCATCTTCTATACATCGGACGTGTGCTGATGGGTTTCTTTGCTGAAAATGGTTCTTAACAGTGCGTGCACATGACCCATGCTTTCCTCACCACTAACTTGCACCGCTTTGCGGGCTTGTAACTCAGCCGGCAGTCGCTCCAGGAGCTTGTACGTCGTCTCATTTTCGAAAGAGCACGAATTCCTCGACACCGGTATGGACTATATGCAAAGCGGTTGAGTTTGGGAAATCCCGGAGATTCTACGGATGGGGTGAAGAAGCGCAGCCTTAGGCGTGGTTTGAAGGCTAAGGCTTATTAACACCAGAATAGCCTTAGAGCTTCGAAATACATCTATTACAAGAAAGTTTACAGTTTTTAACTTCCAGGATTGAACTGGTGGCGAAAGCAGCTTTGCTCGACTTTAGCTGACAAATCCTTAGCCTACTAGTGAAGCTGCGCTTTTTCATCCCATCCGTAAATTCGCCGGAATCTCTCAAATTCAACTTGTTTGGTTGGGAAAGTCACGCTCTTTTAAATGAGCCTACTCACAGGTTCGAGGAGCGACTGCCGGCTGAGCCAAAAGCCTGTAAAACGGCACAAGTCAGTGGTGAGGGGCAGGTGTGGTCATGTGCACGCACTTTCAAGAACCATTTTCACCAAAGAAACTCATCAGCACACGTCCGATGCATAGAGGATGGCAAAGTGCATATATTTTATCCGAGTAGCTTTGTTGGAATGTCATAAATAGATTTTTATGTGAAGAAATTTGGCTTGAAGAAGAGATCCAGAAGTTGAGAACCAGAAGTTATTTTTTGAAAAAAGCAAAACAAAATTCAAGCATGGATTTTTTTGAAAGTAATCGCTACCCGATTTGTCTTCGATGGGCTCTACTGTGTAGAATGCTTACCTGTCCGGATAACTTCTGTTTTTGCTCCAATAAAAGACCTGAAAGAAAATTTTCGCGTTCGAAGAATTATTGTCCGCTATAATGTGACGCGGCCATTTTCGTACTTTTTTTAAAGAAAGATTTTTGAAATTTTTAAATGTTTTCCAGGAAGCGCAATTTGTGGGGCATAGCTCTTGATATCCCTATCACCACATGCAATCCAATCATTTTTTCATCTTTGTTTTCTATCTGAAAATGAGCGATGAAAAAGGGAGGGCTACTTGTCCGCAACTTTTTGGAGGTCACTGTACAGTGCTGGCCATAGCTATAAAGCCACCCTGAAAACCACTGTAATTCGCTCTCTTTTCTTCGAAATTGTCTGAGAAACCACTATTCTGTGTGCAAACTAACGTTGTATCATTGACCAGAACGGCTCCCAGTTTCATTGGTTTTGGCCGGAGAAAAATTGAAAATTTGAAAAAAGGGGTTCCCAAGGCTGGTCACAACTATAAAGCCACCTCTCATTTCCAATCAGTACTACGTTTTTTGAACCTGAAATTTTTTGTACATATACAACATCAAAATATTAAACATTTAACACGCTTGGAAGCAGTCGCCTTTTCAAAAAGGAGATTCATCCTGCATTTTTTGCTTCAAAATGTATAAAAAGTTATAATGCTTGGAAAAACTGCCTTTTCACCAAATTTCCCAGCATTTGTTTGACGCGAATGAAGGTCGTAGGCTTCGCCGAGCCTTTACGATGGATATGGTGAAAAGCGCAGGAGTCAACATGGCTTAGTCGCTGATACCGATAAACGAGCCTCTACGCCACCTCCAGGTAGATGAGTTTTCGAACCGCAGAAATTGAGTTCTAATGCCCGAAAAGCTCTGTCACGTGCTCAGCACGTCGCCTGTACAACGATAGCTCGTGCGCATAGCTTGAACATCATCGCAACTCTCAGGATTTTGGTTCCGCCTTGAACGCTTTTCTTCCAAAAATGAGTGGTACACTCTGCCTGATCATGACGCACTCCGACCTCTCCATCGAGCGGAAAACCGCTCAAAACTTCAAAATTCTAGTATTCCTGACAGTTTTGTAAGATTGACTTGAAGAAGAGTTTAAAGTAGTAAAATGTGAAGTCATGTGAGATACACTGCGCACAACCGAACTACAGACAAAGCGTTTTGAGTTCATTGCTGCAAGTACGTCTTTGTAAAAAGCCTGACAGCTTCTGCATGAGTACGTCACCATGCGAACAAGGTGTCAACTTTCAACCGGAAATTTTCGCGCGTCAGAAATCAAGTTTTGCGTCTCAGAAGCGTGCTTACACCTCGGTAAGATGAGGCTCGTTCATCAAGATCAGCGATTACGCAATGTTGAGTCCAGCACTTTTCACCATACTCATTGCAAAGGCTCGGCGAAACCAAGGACCTTCATTCGAGTCAAACAAATGCTTGAAAATTCGGTAAAAAGGCAGTTTTTCCAAGCACTATAATTTTTTATACATTTTGAAGCAAAAAATGAGGATGAATCTCCTTTTTGAAAAGGCGACTGCTTCCAAGCGTGTTAAATGTTTAATATTTTGATGTTGTATATGTACAAAAAATTTCAGGTTCAAAAAACGTAGTACTGATTGGAAATGAGAGGTGGCTTTATAGCTGTGACCAGCCTTGGGAACCCCTTTTTTCAAATTTTCAATTTTTCTCCGGCCAAAACCAATGAAATTGGGAGCCGTTCTGGTCAATG